GCCAATCAGAATCAAGCACCGGAACCAGGGCTTAATTTGTGTCGGAACAAGCCGGTTCCTGATCCGGCACCTCCGAATTTGTCCGAAATCTGATCCGGCACCTATCCCCTCCTCACGTGCCAATGAAAGACGTTTGTGTTGACCTATAGCGTGCATATATTTCATGAAAGAAACTTCTATTATGAGCAGGCTTGCCTAGCATCTACATTTGAAACAACAAACTTGAGATGCGACGTGGCTGCTCTCACAAACCCGAATGCACGGATCCAATACTGATACATGCGTGTTCTTTCTCAGATGTTCACATTTAGTTAAGCCAAAAAACCGACTGTGCTTACGAGGATAATCACCAGGACAGCCATTTTGACGTCATTGTTTGTGTGTATTTGGCGATATGCGCGCTATGGATGTGACTGTGAGCGCATCCCCCTTTGGGCCACGCGAGTATCGAATGGCTTAAACTTAAAAAGATGTGCAAATGATACAGTTTTGTGACGATGCAACAATGACTCGATTAGGCTAGTGACAATTCTGTCGACTGTCCCGAAACCCGAGCAAAAGTCTTGTATCGCAGCGTGCAGTAGTGCAGACGAGATGCGCTGTTGTGAAGCCGCTTCGAGAAGACGCGGTACAGCTGAATAACTCACGCTGTTTTCAAATGACTGATTTACGGTGGCCGTGAAGTGCAAAACAAATCACAATTCTGAAAACAAAATAACAAATTACAAACGCAAATGCAAGTCTAAAAAACTAATTAACAAGTCAGGAAACACAACGACAAACCAGACAAACCAGAAGAGGTAGGTAAAGTTTGAGAAAGTATACTACTAGTTGCAAATAGTGGCAATTATCTGCACTTCAGTATTGTAGTACATTATAAAACAGTATGCAGTGATAACGTATTGAGTGTAAATTATCATTTTAATTTTAATTATTAAATGGATGCCACCTTATTGGTACAATAAAGCCCTCCCTACACCTACCCGATACTTTATTTTCAACTTTTTTATTATTTCCTTAATTTTTATTGAAAACAAATGCCTTTACGATGTGATATGAGATTTGAAAAGGGAGGGAAAAAAAGTTTGGCAAATGGCGGGATCGAACCCGGGACGATCGCGTCAAAAAGCCAACGACAAGCACTTATCTATCTGCGTCACTGGAGCTGATGATATACAGCCACTTTTAACTAAATGTAAATATACACTCCATATTTTTTATTCCAGAGTAAGGGCAATTCATACAATACATTTAAACTGAGCTACTTTAATACCATCTCCGAACTTTCTACCACGACTCTGCTGTTCTTCGGCTGGTTCTTCTCTGTATACGGTGATTGACAGATGTCTCGTCCAGTCAGCGGTGAGTAATCCCAAACCAATGGCGCTGTCTCAAACTATACCTACCTCTTCCGGTTTGTCTGATTTGTCCTTGTGTTTTCTGACTTGTTATAATGTTTTCTGAATTGTTATTTTGTTTTTTAGACTTGCATTTGCGTTTGTAATTTGTTATTTTGTTTTCAGAATTGTGATTTGCTTTGCACTTCTCTGCCACCGTACTGATTTAATCTGATAGTATGTGGATTTATTTACTCATATAACCTACATGCTCTATTGAATATGTTTGCAGGAATTTCCCTCATTATAATCTCGAAAGCAAATGAACCATAATTCTATTATACAGAGATTTAAGAGAAAAAAAAATCCATGACTTTTCCAAAACTTTTCCAGGCCTGGAAATGGCTGTTTTAAAATTTCATGACTTTTCAGTTTTTTTCATGACCGTAAGAAGATGCACGCTGTTAATCACGTAAGCTAGTCCTCCATTGCGCGAATACTCCGTTACCTCTCCCTCCTTTAATCATGCTGGATCCACTTTGTTCCGGGACCTCGCGATTTACAAATGAAGCACTGACCAGAACTATGCGGAACTATCTTCAGTGCGGAAGTAAGCCTATGGGTGAGACTTCCGGTTCATTAGCCGCTATAAGGAAATAACGAGAAGAATAACAACGTGCAGTAAACGGTAAAACTGTTTGCACTACAAACCAGTGTGTTCATAATTAAAATAATACATTAAAATAATATGGTAAGACACACAAATTTTCAATATCAAGCAGCAAAAGGAGCGGTTCAGTACAGCCAGTGTTGGGAAGGTTACTTTGGAAATGTAATAGATTACAGATTACAAGTTACCCCATCTAAAATGTAATAGTAGTCTAACCTTTTCAATGACTTTATTAAAGTAATGTAACTGATTACTTTTTGATTACATTTCTAAATTTCTAATGCATGTTTATTTGCAACTGTTAATCATTTTCAAACATTTAGACAATGCAGGGTTAACCTTACAGTAGTGCTCAACACTGTCAGACTTTCAAAATCCTTCATAATTTGAATTAAGATGATCAAATTTGGACACATCCACCGCAAAATCAGACGTTAGTACCGCCTTTTACTTTGAGATTGATCTGAAGTTCAATGCAGATTTAAAATCATAAGAAATAGTTAATAGATAAGAAATCACTGCATCTAACAATAGTTAATTAAAAAATAATAATAAATAAAAGCATATACATCAACTCAAATATGGTTATCTAATAAGCATGTGTCCTATTCTGTGCACTAAACTCCTGAAACATTGGTGTCTCTTTGTATATGACATGATGATAGTTTTCTCAAAATAAGTAAAATGCTCATGAAGTGACTCAGAGCAGTTCTAGAGATTATGTTTATGTGTTCATGTACTCATATATTGAGGCGGCAGAGGCTGAAAACACTGCAAGCTTCACTAGGTCTATGTATTGTAAATGAAACCGCATGTCTGCACCATTAATTTCCACGAGGGGCGGACCGGGAAAAAAAATCTGGCCGGGAAATCTCACAACCCTATTTTTTGTATGGACCTCACATAAAAAAGGATTAAGTTGGGGATTAATAATTGAAAGTTCTCTCCTGAACTGCACCTTCACTTCCATTTTTCTTTTCAGTCTCTTTATTTTGCCCTGATATCTATCTCTCTCATGAAAACTCGAGATTGAACAAAACTATACTTTCTAAATTGTCTACATGTCAAAATTAGTGCATCACTACAATATCTTTATAGAAAAATCCTAATACTGAACATGAGTCATGTTTTTTCCTTACAAAAAGTAACCATGCTTTTATTATATTAAAAGTACAGTAAACATGTTTTTATTTTTTTGGCCAACGGATTACCATTTGTATTTATTTTTATTACAAATGCCATGGTTAAACTATGGTTAGTGTAGCAAAAAAACATGGTTAATTTGTGGTTACCATGGTTTAGCAATAGTAACCATTGTCTTTGGATTTATAGTAAAATCATCGTTAATTTTCGTAAGGGTTGTGTTGTTGTCTGCCCTAGCTCCCCTAAACCTATTATAAAATGATTACTTGTCTGCTAAATGACTACTGTAACATTACAATAGATAATTATGATGTCCTTTATACAGTATTTTGAGTGATGGCTGATGAGCAATGGGCTGCTGCTGCTTAACTAAGTAAACAAAGACAAAACTACAATAGCATATTTACAGATGAAACTGACCTGCACTTGAAACCCTGAACAGTAGTGTTGCTTCTCTGCTCCACCTGTGCGCTTCCACAGTCCTCTCCATTCTCTCTCTCGCATTGATTACTCTGATCCAAACTGGGAATTGTCCCGGTTCTCCCGATGGTCAGTCCGCGCCTGATTTCCACAGACATGCAGAACGTGAAGGATTCATATATTGTCTTTTCGCGGCTTAATATTCACAGACACTAATCCATATCACGTTTTGATTCAAGTGCACTGACCTACTTTTGATTTATTCGTCCAAAATGTGGCATATTCTGTCCGCGTTAGGCTCTAGGAATTCTGTTTTTATGACTGGGTTCTAGGAACCAGTCTGTGTTTTCTGCATCGTGGAAATTATAGGGCCGTATGTCTCAGAGTAGTCAGTGCAATTTGGGAAAGAAATCAATTAAATCTGTATGTGGATGTGTGTAAATATTCAAATGTAATCCCCTTTGTAATCGTTAACATTTTCATAAGTAACTGTAATTTAATTACACAGTTTTTCTTAGTAACTGTAACTGATTACAGTTACATTTATTTTGTAATTAAATTACGTAACGCCGTTACATGTAACTAATTACTCCCCAACACCGAGTACAGCTAAAAATAGCTGGACGCGGATGAGACCGGAAGCTAGACCCATAGAATTTACAAATGGCCGCACCCATTTTTACGGCAAGAAAGAAGGTGGATAAGTGACTTATCCTTGCCATTTTCCTTGCCAAGACAAGACTCTCAGAGTTCCTTTAAATCTTACAAACAATATTTGGTATAGTAGGGAATAGTAAAAAAAAGATAGGGTACCAGAGAGAAAGTATTAAAATTGCACAAAAACACTGAACAAATCAATCCATGAATCTATAAATCAATCAGCAATGGTAAAGACAAAAATGCTAAAGAAATATACCAAGTCCAAAATTATGTCGTAATACAATTCATTGTGTTTTGAGCACATACATTTGTTAAAAGGAGATGGAATAGATCAAACTAAAACTGAACTAGAGAATACAAGTAACAAAATAAGCTTCCAATTATTTATTTTCAATCTTCATAAAACATGACAGATCAGATGACGGTTTAGGACAGCACCAATCACAGCCATGTTCATTTCCAAATGCCAAAACACATCACCTACCATTGTACAGCACACACCTATTACAAATAAAGATTACACGCACACAGACATACACACAACCCCACAAACATCATATGACAATCTCAGCACACTTTACCCACAGATGTCAAGCACTGAATAGGGCCTACACACACCCAAATATATTTAACAGCATGGACATGCTCACCTCATCATTATGACCCTGCTGAACCACTATTGTTAAGTATGATTTCAGTGTTACAGCACCACACATCAACCAGGCTTCCTGATGCACTTTTTAAAACAGGATGCAAAAATTCTGACTTACCATCATTACACAGAGGTCCTCCGTATGTGGTCATGCTGCAGTCGCAGGTGAAGCCCTCCCACTGCTGAATACAAACTCCCTGATTAGCACACGAATCCTCCTGACAGGTAGTGCTGGGTCCTGCAGGAACATCGTCATCATGAGCATCAGAGAGAGACACCACCAGAGCCAAGTTATCTCTACACTACTCACTATGTCATATGCTTCTAACACTGTTATTATTGCTCTCACTCATGAGGGGGACACTCACACCACAAAATCAGTTTTCTTGTGTCTAACCCAGTCGTTCTGCCACTGCACATTACATACATGACTGTAAATATATAATGTTTACTAGAAATGTATTTGTCAGTTGGATGATTTACAGAATGCTATTATAATGTTTCTGTCAAATCCTAGGCTTACTGTGGTGCAATTTGAAAACATTGGTATAACTGTCTTTTTAATTATATATATATATATATATTTTGTACTGTGAGGTTTATTGTTTGTTGAGTGAGTGAATGAATGTAGCAGTCAAGGCATTATATCTAGCCATCCACTGTCTGGTTGAATCAGACAAAATGACAGAAGAAACCAGTCCAACATCCAGTAGCATGAAGACACTCGGTTTATCTTTTGAATGCCCTACAAAATGCTGTTCACTACAAAGACTTCCTCCATAAAGGATGCACCTGTGTATCCTCACTGAAGCTACTCAGGATGAGTCCTTTGCCCTATATCCTCTCATTCTCATGGTAAAATTAGACAACTTGCACATCATTCATCATAGCAGAGTTATATCGGTTTCTGGGTCACAGGCTGAGATGGAGAGTGATTTTCACGAGGGCATTGAGAAGCACCCTCTGTCTACACTTCACATTCTTCTGCATCTAATTTCCATTAAAAGCAATCAACCACAGTTCAGATTTATTTAGAGGCGGGGTTATCTGAGACGTACATTATTAGCAGATTTTAAAATGGGGCAGCTGTCTCAAGCAAAACTTGATCAAAGATTTGAAGTTATTAATCTTGTAAACTTTTAATTAATTATTACAAAAGCGCTCTGCTTGGTTCCCTGTAACCAATAAAGCACTTGCTTTATTAATTTGTATTATGAAATTCTTAATTAACAATGTAAGGGCAGCTCCCTTGTGCGTAATCCTGTCACATTGTGAGCAAGGATATTCCAATTGATCCTAAACATTTCTCTTCGAATCCTCCACCTTGCTTCCTTTCCTTATATTCTGCCCTTGAATCTTACGAGGGAGAAGAAAGGACACAGAGAAAGCAAATGAGGATGCATCAATAATGAAATGAGAAGCACCAGATACTGTATGAGGACAACGCAGCTGCCAAGACAAAGGTCAACATGTCATTTATGTAAAGCAGGAGGTGTGATGAAAACAGTATGAAATATTCATGTTGTTTGGGGTATAACACTGTGTATGAAAAGTAGATTTCATGCAGCAACAGCAGAAATTATGCTATCCATTCAAAAGTGTTGCCAGCAGATGCTGAAAACTGCTGCATATGCGCGAGACAATAAACGTCTACAACATGACAGCTACAACAAATCTTTTGACATCAGCAACAATACTAGGAGTGAAATGATCACCACAGTAAACTTAGTAAACCAGTAAAGGTAAATGTTAATAATAAACTGAAAATAGCATTCATTCATTTACTTACACCTAAAGCTATTTGCTCTTAGTGCAAATGGCCACTCTTTTTGATAAGGCTAAATATTTCCTATATTAATGGCATGTTCAAAATGTAAATTCTCTTTTCATCCTGTCTTTATAGAAGCTTACTTATTTATGTTATGTTAAATATGTACAGTATGTAGCCTATGTTGTATATTACAATATGAAAATATGTATAGTTCAATATTCTTTCAATTAATATGTAACAAGTCTTGCATAATAAAAAAAAATAAAACAACCATACAGGGTGATCAGATCTTGTATCATCAATAATTAAATGATCCTATTGAAAAGTAAGAAATGTGTTGTCACCTTCACATCCTCTCTCAATCTGTCCAACACAGACCAGCGCTTCAGACATCAGGTCTGGCAAACGGCCGTTTAGATCCACAGATGCCAGACAGCCTTGAAATCCTTCTTTTGCATGAACTAACTTGGGCAACTCTTTGTAGATCTCCTCAGGAACGCCACCAATATAAAGATCACCTGCAAACAGAGCCATAAAAAAAGAAAAGGAAAAAAAAGCTGCTTACTGACAGTAAGTACAGTAGTTGTTGTAGTAGGTATGTTTATTTACTGGGACTGGTTAAGGGATCTGGTCGTCCCAAATAAGGCATTCATTTGTGCATTAGAAGTACTAATAAACAGCCAATATGCTAGTAATATGCATGCTAATAAGCAACTAGTTAGTAGTGAATAGTGTTCCATAATCTAGTGTTACCAAATTATTTTTAATCCATAAAACACTATATCATCACCTTTGTAACAAAAAAAGGCAGCAGAGCAGGGTTATTGGCAGGTTAAAATACTATTAATGTGTAATTTACCTTTTAAGTCAAGATTTTTGGCCCCAACGGTGGTCTGGGTGGCGATTTTGGTGTCGATTTTGACAGTGTGCAGGTTATTTGTGTCTCTGGAGATGATGACGTTGTGCCATTGGTTGTCATTAAGAGGCTTGTTTGAGTTTCCTTTGATGAGATAAGCACCGTTTCCCAAGTCTGAGATGTAATGCAGGTAGCTAAACAAAGATATCATGAAATAAAATGAAATGTACCACACATGCAAATACAGAAGATTTAGATAATAATTAAATATGTATTGTAATAAATGTACTGTAAAAAAAAAAGTCCACTAGTAGGTGCAAGCTAAATACAGTTTAGTTTCAGTTCCCCATAGGGACGAAAAATCACAAATAAGATATTTTTTATATCTCAGTTGTTTTCCTCAGACAGAGATTTGATTACATGAAGAAATGTTACTGAAAGAGAGAGAGAGAGAAAATCTTTCCTCAAGAGATTTTGAAGAAATCCCTCAAGTTGTGAGCAATCACAAATCAGAGATCTCAATATGAATTAAAATATTTCTTATCAAATTCTTCCGAAATTGAAGTAATAGCTATGCCATCAACTATATTACAAGCTTTTACATTTGTAATGTTTCTATACTCAGCTTAATACTTTCTCAATGTCTCTGTCTCAGTGTCTTTATTATCTAAATGCAAACCTCTGACAAATAAAATCACATTTTCTAAAATAAATAAATAAAAGTGTTTTTTTCCCCATTTGCAAGGATATAATATATTTTGATAGGGAAAGAAGTTGTTGAATGAACAACTCATAACAGCATCTGACTGTAATGTCTGTCTCTCCATAACGTACCCCTTAACCAGCTCTACAGCGATGAAGTCATTTCCATCTCCACTGTTGAACAGGATGAGTCCATCTGATGAGGTGGTCTTGAACTGGAAGAACAGGTGCATGGAGTAGTATGCCTGCAGCGCGCTCAGAGACAGATAGCTTGAGCAGGACCTGAAGGTCAGTGGATCGGCAATGATGTTCTTGAATCCGATCATGGCGTTGACTTCGCAGTAGTCGATGTCTCCGTTTATGCAGAGGTCGATGTACGGCTGGCCGTTAAACGTCAGGCTCTGGAGTTGCCCAATGAAGTTGGAGGGTGTGATGGGCAGGTAGCGTTTCTCTGTAATGATCCCCGTCTCAATGTTATGAAACTCCAGCTGTGTGTGGTCACCTGGTATCTCTCCTGTTTCATGGCAGAGTGTTGAGAACAATGTAAGGTTAATTTCATGTATATCATAAATAGGCCAGTTCATATTATCCCAACAATCTCCAACTAGATCTGTCCTCTCATCTACTCTGTGTGTTGGAGTCAGGCAGCTCCTCCACACACACACACACACACTCACACTCACACACGCACACGCACACGCACACGCACACACTCACACTCACACACACGCACACACACACACACACACACACACACACACACACACACACACACTCGCACACGCGCACGCACTCACACTCACACTCACACTCACACTCACACTCACACTCACACACACACGCACACACACGCACACACACTCACACACACACACACACACACACACACACACACACACACTCACTCACACTCTCACTCTCACACACACACACACACACACACACA